TTTTTTTTTTTGTGAAAAAGACAACTTATTCCTATTTACCACTACACCACGTGCTTTGTAATATGTCACTTGGCATGGTTTAGCTCCTTCAAAATTGTCACCATCTTTTTAGATAAATGAAATGACGAGTCATGTATTGTCCCATGGGGCTAATACAACATTACAAAGATTTTCTTAGCAAAAATCCTTTTGAGGATCTTTGGACATGTTCTTTCATACATTCAAGTGCTTTAAGATTTTTAGTATACTGGAAATGAAATATATAGTGATTTGCTCAGTAGATATTTGTGGTAAAAAGAACTACAAAATATAAGATGACTAGTTAGTACCTACTGAGTACATGCTGATATAGATCAGGCACTGTGATAGGCCTTGATGTAGATTAAACCATTTAGTTCCCACAACAATATCTACAAGATGAAGAAATAAATCATAGAGATGTCAGTGACATGCTGGAAGTCGCACAGCAGGAGAGCGGTAACCCAAACTCCCCATCCCCTTTGAAGTTACAGTCATTCCTGTCCTACAGGCAATTCCTGTCCCAATGGCCAGATTTTAGGGAATATCCTTTTATACTCATGCATGTCATATTTATTTAGTTAATAAATCATAAACAAATGAGGTTAAAGTAAGTGAAATGAAAAGTCAGAGTATTTTATCACAACCGAAACTATTCTTTGCTGTTGAAATGAAAATCATTAGAAACTGGAAAAATCCTCCCCCTTGGGTGGCATGACTGACACCTCAGTGCTGAGTGTTAAGTCAGTTGCAAAGAAGCACGCTAATGGTGGGGGGGTGCATTCGCACCCTACTATCCGCTGTCTCTCTAAGCTCACCTGCTTGCTAGTTAGTTAATGCACCAGTGGCCTGGGTTGGCGTCAGGAAGAGAACCTTGTTTATCTGTCCTAAGCTTGTCTTCCCTTGGGGTAATGTTATCTTCCTTGCTGGGTGGTTATGACGATTTCAGGAGATAACAAAAGTTAGGCATGTACATCGTGCCTGGCAATTATTGGAGAGACTATTCAGTGATTTGATTTTCTATCGTTGCAGGAATAACCACTCAGAACTGTTCAGGCAACCATCTTAGTTTGCTCCGGTTGATCAGGTCACGGAGAGCTGGATGATTCACCTTTGACTCACTAGGTACTTAGAAGAATGGGTTAAAACCCCATTCTAACGTGTGCCAGGTTTAGAACCACTTTGCCAAGAGCTGTTTTATTTTATTTTTTTTTTATTTTATTTTTTTTTAAAGATTTATTTATTTAGGCCCTCCCTGGTGGCGCAGTGGGTTAAAGCACAGCACTAAGAAGCTGAAGCCACTTCTGCATGAGTTCGATCACCGCCTGCCCGGAGGAGATCCACATGGCATGGCAGACCTCTCCTGACCCATCAGTCAGCCTGTTCTGCTCCCCACTCTGTCTCTGGTGGATCCTCTCACACTCCGCATCTCTAGCCTGTACCCAAGTTTTGTATGAATAAGTAAATAAATCTTAAAAAAAAGAAAGAAAGAAAGAAAGAATTAGGAGCTAGAACCCATTTGAAAACTTTTTTCAAAGTACCTGAAATTGGCATGCTTTTAAAGAAGGGCAATTTAAGAGTTTTGCTTTTGCTAGAGTCATCATGGTTAAATTCTCAGAGTCAAAAACTGTCATGTGTCTCTAAATGTGCAAGTTATGAATAGCTTTAAAATAATGTCAGTCACTAGCTAGCAGGCCGGCCAGCCAACAGCACAGTTCTTGGTAGCCATCAAGGAAAAGCCCTTTGAAGGCAGGTGAGAAGCTTCTCACTAACCATGTCAACCCTCTGCTTCCATACTAATGACTGTTTGGGGATAGAAACAGAAACATAGTTATGTCCTGACAAAAGTGCTTACATGAAAAGTCTTATTTAGGGGTGTAAGTTCACAATAATGAAACCAACAAATATCAAGCTCTTAAATTAGCTAGGTAGAGGGGCAGGATAATGGTCCTTATAGCCAACTCTAACTTTCAGTAGAATCATTGAAAAGTCTATCACAGCTCTTTTTTAAAATTTATTAATTTATTTATCTCTTTACATTTTATTTTAAAACAATATTTACTTTCCCCTCCCCCAATTCTATCCCAGCTCTAAACACCAATTGTCAATGTATGTGCAAACATTTCACATATATATTATTTCACCCAATGTGCCAGACATTTGCAAACACATTCAGGCATAGATCCATTTTGACCCGTAATAGCATTTATCACTTTATTAGTTTGTAGCATCTGAATCAAATTCCACTCCCTGCTGTTTTTGTTTGTTTGTTTGTTTTCAGGAGAAGCTTAGCATCATTTAGAATGTGATGTCCCATGTATGAATTACTGGCTAAGTCCTTAAAAGTATCAAATCATTTTGCAGAAAAACCCATTGACCATGTTCATTATACATGCAAAGAGAAATGATTGGACTAGTGACATGAATAAGATTGAAAGGCCTGTGATTAAGTTCTAAAGTGGGTTTCCTTTATTTGAATTTCACTTGTCAACATACACTTATACCTTACACTCAACAGATAGCCTTCTCCTTAATGCTATAAAAAGAATTTTCTGTATCTGAGAGGAAAAACTCTGAAATGTCGCATGAGATACTCTCTGTGCAGAGATACAGATAATGAAGCACTCTCCACACAGAGTGATCACACCATTCCATTTGTCCCAAGTTATGAATATCTGCTGGTTTAGCCACATATCTATATCTCTTTCTCCCTACACTTAAGTTTCACCATTATCATTTTCATGGAGCTGAAAACAAAAACATTTCCCTAACTTTCCTTATAACCTGCTAAAAGTAAGCAGATATTATTCTGAACCTATTTCCAATACCATTTGAGAACATATTACAACAAGTGGTGCTACAAAAACAGAGATTTCATATAAACTATGTTAGAAACAAGTTAAAGTTCAAGTAAGTTATTCAATCATGGTGATAATTTCTCTCTGGTCTTTAATATTATCATGCAATTTGTTCAGCCTGACCGAAAGAATGTGGTGAATATTAATACTGTTAACATAGAAGTCTTTTGACTTAGCATTTTACCTAGTCTCTTCATTAAAAGTGTTGAAATCATGCAATGAAGTTGGTGGCAGGAAGCTGGTAACATTCATATGTTTTGCTGAGAGTAACAGAACCCCCACATACAGAATCACACTGGCTGACCAGGTGAAGAATTTGATTTCCCTCTCAGACCTCTAATATTCCTGATTCAGTGATCTCAGGGAACTTAGCACAAATTAATTAATACTGCTTGATTCTTGTTGTGAAGATGTGAGAAATGAATATAAATAAACATGTATATATAGAGATGGAATTCCACATCTCCCAGGTTACATATAATTTTATTTCAACATCCTGTTTGTATATTGAAAAATAGATTCATCAACAAGACTCAGCAGAATGTAAAGCAAAGCACTATTATCATCATCAGCATCATCATCAGTATCATCATTATTAACATTCTGAATTTCCAGGAAAAGGTATGTATTGATAAATTCCACATTGACTATCCTGGAAGGTTTATGACGAATTTTCTAGTCAAAAATTAATTCTAGTCTGTCTCAGATCTGTCCAAAATATCTAAATCAGTCACCCAGGATGTTGGCATACTGAGCCTCTTTAAAGCTGGTTCCTTTAGTGTTCACCAATATGAGCTACTTGGGGTCACATAGCTATCTTTAATCCCTCTCCTAGGTCTCTAACCTTTCATATTTGTTTGGTATTCCAGTCACCAGATGGAAAAACGGAAGTGCAACACGGCCACATGTGCCATTCAACGCTTGGCAAACTTCTTAATTCATTTCAGCAACAGTTTTGGTGACGCTTCCTCACCTACCAACGTGGGACCCAACACGTACGGCAAGCGGAACACAGCTGAGGTCTTAAACAGAGAACCCCTGACTGATTTTCCCCTGTAGAGGTCAATATATTCAGCTCTTATTGGTTTACAAATAAGCACTCTAGTGAGTTCCTGAATATCTCATTGTTGTCTTTTTCGTGCCTGGAGTGAATGCGTGAATCTGTGCTTGCCTGCTTATTCTAGTATATATGAATTGTCACATTAAGAATTGGTGTAAGTTTAAATTCAATTATGATCCCATCATACTTTGGCAGTGTTTTTAAAAATGAAAGATTTTCCTCTAGATTTTATTCTTAAAACATTTTAAAAAGTCACTTCCTGTGTTTTGATGGCCTGAGTTTGAAAACAAAGGACTAAAGAGCAGTTGGAAACTTAGTGAGTTGCATACAGCAAAGAGATAAGCCTGTGATTCTGAACATTAGAAAACCAGCAGTTATTAATACCATTATTAAGCTATCACTTTTGCATTAGATATATGAAATGTATCAGAATGCTATTTCTAAAAACGTAAATGAAATCCTACACCTGACTCAGTCAGAATGTTTTTAAAAGTTCTGTTCTTTGTCGTATTAGCAAATACTAAGAGGCTATTTAAAAATATAAGAGTAACTTGTGTTCATGGTAAACTTGTGTGACCATTTTGTGTTACCTCCAGTGAGCTTTTATTAGATGTGTTGCCTTTTATTTTATTTAAGTGTCATTCAGCAAACCTTAGTCATATTCTTATATAGGATATTATGAAAGCAACTTGTGTGCTCATTAATTATGTCTTCGAATAAAAGACCCCAGACTTTGGAAACTACCTGCTATATGGTAACTTCATTATTGAACTTCTGTTTGTATGCTGTGCATTTTTTGACAGTAGCTGCAATACTGAACAAGACATAAAATGTGGTAAGTCAAATCCTTACTAGATGTCTGATTTGCCTGACAGTGAGGAACCTACAATTATAAACTACTATCATGCACTATAAACTACCATCAAGTAGTATAAACTATTATTATCATGCTTTATCATACTAGGACCCTACACCCCTCCTGATTGTTCTCCAACCTTCCATAGCAGGGTCAGTTTCCAAATTTACATTTTTATTACATCCTCTTTCTATGTTTGTTGGTCATTACTAAATACATCAAATTCTTTAGTCTGACCCTCAAGCTTCTGTAAGTCTGCCCCCTCTTCTCTTTGAGTTGATCTCATTATTTTACTTCATCTATTTATGCCAAACTCCTTGATTAATTCAGTTTAGCTGATATTATGATAGTTGTTCTTATTTTCTACCTTCTGTCTCTTCTTTAGTTTCTCTAAGCCTTTCAAAATTTTTTCATTAACAGTGTCATCAAGAATCTTTTCTCAAGGTGGCTGTCTACAGTCCCCAAATAGAGATCTTCCCAGAAACCTAGCTGCCTGGCACCCCAATCTTGGACTTCCTAGTTTGTCAGAGAAAAACATTTCTGTGTTTAAGCCAAAAAAAAAAAAAAAAAAAAAACCAAAACCAAAAACCTTTATCAAGCCTTTGATCATTGAAAATTTTTCCACCCACTGATTTCTTGAACATACTTTGAGAATATCTTTTAGGTTCAAAATTTAGCTTCAAAAGTAATCTGGTATTAGAGTCGTATAGTACTACCTACTATCTTATTTGTATTAAAACATGTATTATATATATAATTATATTATTTCTATATGATTTGTACCATGAATACATTTCCCTTCAACCCTTCAACAGTGCTGGCTTCCTTAGGGTAATCACTAAGATTAATCATTCACCATTCCACAAATTTCTCAGTACATGCTCAAGAAGCTTAAGCTCATCTACACATGCTGGGGAAAGTTAGGGAACTTAAGCAGTTCCCATCATCTCTTCTAGATACTGTGCTGCATAGCGCTTACCAGCTCTTACCTTTTGAAATGACTTGACATTTACCACATCTTCACACTGATGTTGAAGACAGTTAATTGTGCTATCTAATCTATCATACAGATTGTGGAGGAAGAAAGCACCTAACACTCTCTCCCAGGGTTTTAGCCATGTAACTAAAATATCTGATGTATTGTCAGGATATTAGAACATGTTAATTATGTGTTTCATGTCTTGATTTGAGTTACTAAAACCATGAGGAAATGAATTATTCAATATTCAATACACTTAACATACACAATTGACTATTTAAATTCTATAATTACTGAAAGAAAAATATCCTAAACTGCTGTAGTAAGTGGGACTGAGTGAATTCCATAAAATGGAATGTTACAGAAGCAAATGTTCCTGTTTTTCAAATTATCAGAAGAAAAATGCCCTCTCATTTGAAAGGTGATAAGTATATTCCCTTATTATTATTACCCCTATTTACAGATAAAGAAACTGAGGCTATTTGAGGGTGCGCAAATCACTGTATCTTCTTCTGCCCAAGTTCAAACCAAGTCCCATACCAGAATCAAGATATGAACCCACGTATTCATTTCACATTTGTTGTGTACGTACTATGTGCCAGACACTCTTCAAAGTACACAAGATGCCTCAGTAAACCAGACCGAATATCCCCTATCCTAAAGGAACTTACATTCTGGTGTTGGTGTGGTGTATGCGCTCAGTCACGATATTCCTCCAAACTAAGGCCCTGTAAACTCTCATCATCCTTTCACAGCCAGGTAGATGAAATCACAAACACTTAGAAACTCACAAGAAGGGCAGAATTAGGAGCAAAATTGGTGTAAATCTTCAAACAACCCTAAGATAGGTCTTGTTCCATCATTTGCAAGCCACTTCAGCATGAGTTCGATCCCCACCCAGGGGAAGTGACCACATGACTCGGCAGACCTCTCCTGAGCCGCCCGCTGCTCCCCTCAGCAGTGTACTTCGTTGATCTGCCTGTTTTGCTCCCCACTCTGTCTCTGGTGAATCCTCTCACTGCCCTTGTACCTCTGGCCTGTACCCCAGTTCTGTATGCATAAATAAATAAATCTTTAAAAAAATTTTTTTAAATAGACAAAAGCAAAGAGTTTTTTTGCTTTCCAATAATAGTCACATTTATATGCTAAAAGTTAAAAAAAAAAAAAAAGAAAGAAAATGAGCTGACTTGTCTAAGATCCTACAGTTAGAAGATCAAACCAAGATTGGAGACCAGGTTTGTTAGACCCGAAGTCCAGAAAATTCTCTGCATTGTGTCCAAACACAAATATTTTTCTTCTATTTCCCCTCTATGGTTTATTTTAGGTAGGATCCTGCCAAATCACTTCGTCATGAAATTGGACAAACAGGCCAGGCAAAAGAATAATGGGACAAAAATGTTTTTTCAAAATTTGGAGAACTTGTTTGATGTTGAGAATAACAATAGAGTTCTGCCTTGTTTTATTTTCCTTTTTTTTTTTTTTTTTAGATTTCTACTGAAAATTTGAAAAATGCAATGAATATATTAAATATTTCCAATACTGAAACATCCCTGGTAGCACATCTAAGCACTCCCCATTCTAATACAACTGAGTTGTGTTTTTTTTTTAAGATTTATTTATTTATGCATACAAAGCTGGGGTATAGGCCAGAGATGCAGGGGGCAGTTAGAGGATTTACCAGAGACAGAGTGGGGAGCAGAACAGGCAGATCTTCTGAGGGGAGCAGCCAGTGAGACAGGAGAGGTCTGCCACTCCATGTGGATCACCTTGGGGGTGGGCGGGGATCAAACTCATGCAGAAGTGTCTTTAGCTTGCTGTACTTTAACCCACTGCACCACCAGGGAGGACCCCCAACTGAGATTTTGATCTTGAACTTTGTTGTTACTCTATTTAAAACTATGAAAATTCTCTTTTATAGTTTTAAGTTCTATTTTATAGTTAAATGAACAGTCTGTGGAGTAATCCTCCTTCCCTTGTGACTTGAAGCTCTATTTTTACCTGCATTGCTTCTCCTCTGTCCATTTCACACCTCACCTTCACCCACATCCACACACTCCTCACACTATCTCATTCATCCCTGCCTTAACCTCCCCTTAGCCTCTGGGCATCTGCCCCTCCTTCAGCTCAAATGCCAGGTTCTCAAGGAAGCTGCTCTTGGTCCTTTCAGCTCTTATCTACATTTACAGAGACTTTATTGTACTCCTCTTCTGGTCTCAGTACATTCAAACATTTACTCAGCCATTCCACTGATATTTATTGAGCTCCCTTAGTCTTTGGAAAATACTTGAAAAAGTTCAGGTTCTACTTCGAAAGGAATCCTGTCTGCTCAGGTGTGCACAGGTGATTCTTCACCTAACCTTTAAACTACCTGAGGACAAGGATATTTTGAGTCATCTCTACATCCCCCACCATGATAGTTTGGCCCACCACTACTTGCACACGACAGGTGCTCATGTATAGGCTGAATAAATGCAGTTTACGAAGAATGGAAAATTAATGAATGCATTAACTTTAATATATACTACTGATTTAATAAGGCATGATGCAATGATGGATGGCTACATCATCTATTGCCTTGGTAAACTAGGTGTATTGAGGCACTCATTTGTTAAAGATGAGCAATAAAATGCTGCAGCTTCGCAAACAACATCACTTCACTCAACATCATTTTGTCATGATGTTGATGAGATAAAAAAAACTGGATGTATTGGGCCCTCCCTGGTGGTGCAGCGGGTTAAAGCTCAGCACTAAGAAGCTAAAGCCACTTCAGCATGAGTTTAATCCCCACCCAGATGGCACAGCAGACCTCTCCTGACATGCCTGCTGCTCCCCTCAGCAGTGTACTGTTCTGCTTCCTACTCAGTCTCTGGTGAATCCTCTCACTGCCCATGCACCTCTGGCCTATACCCCAGGTCTGTATGCATAAATAAATAAATCTTAAAAAAAAAAAAAAACTGGTTTACCTCTGGACCACTGTGTGTGGGGAGTTGCATGGTCTCCCCTTGTCCTTATGGGTTTCCCTGAGGACCTGCTTCCTCTCACCTCTCATGTGCCCACAGAGGTATACATGAATTTTGTGGGGGCATCTCCATTGCCCCCACACATTGATGCACTCTAACATGGAAAGTCAGCTGTCCAGAGTGAGGGCTCACTTTGTCCTGAAC